GGGAAAGAGAAACGCATTTCGAGGAAGTGGGAGGTTTAACGTTACCAAGGTGCAGGTGCAAAACGAAAAGCATTTCCTCGTCTTCCTCTTGTCTGAAACCTGAACACGGCAGCAGAGCTACAACTCGGAGCGCTACAGCAGGGGAGTTGGTGGGCATCCCAGCGTTCCCGTTGCCAGCCGTTGTTATTCCACTGACCATCTGAGGAGGAATCTATATCTGGGAAGGCAAAAAAGAATTCGGTTCAAACAATTTGAAAGCTCAGCGTTGCTTTTCTAGTCTGACAAAGCATTGGGGAGCTGAGTGTCTCTGATGAGCTTTCAAATAAAAACCAAGCTCTAACTGCGCCTCAGGGACAAGTCCGGGAATTCCTGGCAAGGGAAACAAATTCCCAAAATATTGGGGAGACTAAACAGGGACTGGAAGATCATCTGGGTAGCACTCAGATGGCTTTCCCAGCAAGACATGGCTGCAATTCAGGGAGAGACCTGAGCTCCACTCCCGACGGTGCACTGCACTGTTGCAGAGCCGACGACGAGCTGGCTGACGCTGCCTGGAGTTTTCCACGCAAAATCCCTAACGGCGTTTGAAAACGGCCATCGTCACGGTCCCCCAAATGCTGACGGCCTTCTGAAAGACTAAGTTTCAGCTGAACTTCTTCAGCTTTTAAAATTTTTTTCTTTCCTTGTCTCCTCCTCTTCCCATTGCAGAAAATAACTACAGACACACCTGACTTCAAGGACAGCAGGTGAAAAAAAAGTTTCAAGGGGAAGAAGGAAGACTTTTCCCCAAATCCTACCCTTTGAAGAAGTCATTCGAGTCAGTGACAAACTATTCTTAAGCACACCGGAGCTCGAGACTCACGAACTCCTGCTCTGCGTTAGCTCTGCCATTGTCTTCCAGCATTATTGCTTCCACTTTCTGGCAAAACCCTGTTTCCAGACCAGGAGTGGGGGTTTTTTGCTAAAAAAATCTACTTTCCGATACCAACCAAGCGACCATTTCTCAACGTGAAAAGCCAATATATCACATTTCCGGCACGCACCAGGCACCGCAGCCCCTTCTCCCAGCCTGCCCACCTCCCGGCGTGAGGCAGTGCCTGTTTCAGGTAGATCTCACCTTTTGATCCAGTCTCTGATAATCGCCAGATTTGGGCCGTCGACCACTTTTCGATCTTTTCCCTTCCAGAGCAAAAGCAATGATCTTTGGAGAGAGAAATGGGAACATGGTGAGCGGGACAGAAGCGACCGAATAAACTTTTTCTGACTTCAAGCAGAGGCGCTGTCTAACGGGCCAAAGACCAGCTTCACTTCCCTCCTCCTAGTGACCATATTTCATTTGAAAAAGCACTTGAAACAACTAAAAGTCAATATTTAAACCCAGCTGAGATCAAAAGCAGGTGATAATGAAGTTTGCCTAACATGCAGAAAACAAGAAGAATTTGTTTTCATTCTCCTACCTCAAAAATAGCTTTACAGGAGGGAAAAAAAACCCAGCAAAAGATAATTACATCATTTGAGCTGCATCCCCCCCATGCAAGACAACCCGCTACAGAAAACTCGTTGTCAGCGAGAAAACGCAGTGTAACTTCATAGCTCTTTTCCTTTTCACCTCTCTCAGCTGAAAATAACCACCAGAGCTGAGGTCACCCAGTTTCTGCAGAGATCCGACCCCCTTCCAAGTTACAACACCCCCTCTGCTCCTCCCAAAGCCGTTGGGACTGAGGCTCGACTTAACGTTAACCAAACCCACGCCACGCAGCAGGTATTGGCGAGAAACAAAAGTCAAGGCAAGGGGAACGGTCATCAACCGAGCAGGTCCCAGTCTGCAGCAGTGACCGGCGAGAGGAAAGGAAGCTCCCAAACCGCAGGGGAGATGTCGAGAGAACTGGGAAAGGAGCACAGCTGCTCACCTTGCGCTTGTTGTGATACGCTACGTATAAGGCGGCAACGATAATAGCTGTGGTGACCAGATAGGCGAAGAAGTGGCTGCTCTCCGACTGGTCCCTGGGGGAAGAAGGAACGCTCTTCTCTCTCTCCTTATTTGAGGAGGAGGCATTGCTGCCATCTTTAGCCCTTTCATCCTTCTCCTCTCTGGAGCCACCCTCATCTTCGGAAAAGCTGTCGCCCACAGCAGCAGAGGAAGTTGATTGTGGCGATACATTTTTATCTCTCGACGAGTCCATTTGATTACCCTGGTTCTTGGTCTGGTTATCGCCGTTACTGCCCGAGTTCTTGGTCTGGTTATCGCCGTTACTGCCCGAGTTCTCATCCTGGTTCTTGCCCTTGTTCTGGTTCTCACTGTTGTTGTCCTGGTGGTTGTCCCGGTTCTCGGTGTTGCTCTCCTGGCGGGTGGGTGTTGCTCTCCTGGTGGTTGTCCCGGTTCTCGGTGTTGCTCTCCTGGTGGTTGTCCCGGTTCTCGGTGTTGCTCTCCTGGCGGTTGTCCCGGTTCTCGGTGTTGCTCTCCTGGCGGTTGCCATTGTCATCCTGGTGGTCGCTGTTGCCATTGCCGTCCTGGTGGTTTTTCCAGTTCTTGTCATTGCTGTCTGGGTTCTTGTTGTCCTTGTCCTGGTTTGTGTTGTTGTTGCCCTGGTTGTTGCTGCTATCCTGCTTGTCCTTGTCCTGGCTGTCCTGGTTGTGGTCCTCGTTCTTCTTGTCGCTATCCTGCTTGTCCTTGTCACTGCTGTCCTGCTTGTGGTCCTCATTCTTCTTCTCGCTATCCTGCTTGTCTTTGTCACTGCTGTCCTGGTTGCCACCGCCCTGGTTATCGGGGCTGCCACCGCCCTGGTTATCAGGGCTGTTACTCTGCTCGCTGGTCTCCTTACCAGCGCCACCATTTTGTTGGTCAGTCTGGTGACCTGTGTCGTTGCCTTGGCCGCCCTGGCCATCAATCTGCTGCTTCATGCTGCTACTGTTGCCAGACATATCCGTGCTGCGCTGGTTTGGTCTGTTACTCGTTTCAGAATGCTTCTCTTCATTCTTTTTGGATTCATCTGGCTGCTCGTTCCCTTTGGACCCCTGGACAGATCCCCCACCGCCTGCCGAAGTGCCGGAGCCCGTCCGC